AAATTCACTCTGAAAATGTAGGGAATTATTTTTTCAAATTTTGGTTTAATGATCTTTTTTAAAAATCTGTTAAAAAAGTTCGGGGAGGAGTGTGTTGAGAGGTGGAGAAAACGGTGTTTCTAGTTGATGGATTCAGCATGTCTGAAAACATACTTCAGCAATGGAAAGGAAAACTTCAAGAACAAGAAAATATAAATAAGAGTCTTCAGCAGATGAAGAGATGAGTAGCTCTTGCATAAAATGCACCCACAGGAGAGGTGTTCTTGAAGAACAGTTCTTCATAGAATCTTCTGTAAGACAGAGTTGGCTACCTCCAAAGATTCCTCCTTCACTAAAACAACATCGTAAGAGTCCAGGTACTTTTGTAAAAGCTCATCCACCTAATCAACCACAACAAAGAAACAAAAATTGAATGAACATGCAGAAAGAACTAAGTTTCACAGAAATTTCACTGTGAATTTAGATCTATTGGGCAAAATGTAAATTAACTCACTTTAATAAAATCTTTGAAATGAAGAAATACTTCCAAACTTTTACGACTCACTGACATAGAAATTTTCCCACATAGTGGCTTTTCTCCCAAAATGACTTCTTTCTAGTACAGTGATTCTCAACTGGGGAAGACTGTGCCCAAGGAACATTTGGCAATGTCTGGAGACATTTTGATTCTCATTGTACCTAGAGGGGAGAGGCCAGAGAGACCTCATTTAGAATGTATACCCTCTCTTCCCCCAATAATTAGCATGCATGAACTCCCTTACCCATTCCCAAACTTAAGAGCAATCAAAATGTCTCTAAAGTAACTCCTTTGTCAGGCACCTTTCATCACAATTGCCTATAACATCTTATCCTAGTTTTTCTTAAAAGTAAATTAAATGATGCAGCTGTATACTTACTCTATCATTTAGATACCCGATTTTCAGAATATTTTCAACATTGGTCACCCCATCTGCCATTCTTAAGTCTCCTTGGGAGTCTCCCAGTAGAATTATGTTGCTATTGTTTTTTAGTTGACTGAAATAATCTGTGTTCTTCAAGGCACCATCATGTTTGTTAAATACATGAATTAGTTCTCCTTTAAATCCTTTAAGCACCCCCTATAAAAAAAAAAAAGTTCTTTTGAGATAACAGTTTTTGCATTTTACAAAGTCTATTTGCTGTTTTCTCATATTCATGAGAAGAAAGGCCCTGGGAAGTAAATGACTTCCTAGAGACAATGATTGAAAACGCTATTACTTTCATTTGGTTCCTAGTGAAATGGTCCAGTGTTATGTACAGCATAAATACTGTCTTTATTAGAACTCTTTAAATGATGTCAGCTCTGATTCATGTCTTTCCAACTATGAATGTTAAATCTTCAGAGTTGCTACATTAACTTACTTTAAAAGAAGTTTTAATGATTGCAATATTACACTACAGTTTAATGATAACAATATTAATGTAAAGTTTAAGTTTTTAACACCTGGCTATGGATACACAGTGGGGAGATAATTCTCACAGTGTACTTATCAAGCTGGCTTTAATTAAATGACTACATATTAAATAATACATAACATACATTTTTTGTGATTAAAAAGATTCATATTTTAAAAATAACTTCTAAGAATGATTTGATATTCTTACATTGTCATCAAAATCCATGAAGTTGGACACTACTTTGACATTTGGATGGTAAACACCAGCTTGCTCGATAACCTCCTCTAGCACATCTCCAATTCCAGCCGAAAATATGAACATAGGGATGTCATGTTTGTAGAGTTTATCGAAGAAATTCTTGTATCCTTCTCTGAAAGATGGAGGTATAGATTGTTAAGGAAAAAAATATATCTTCTTTTCACCCAGAAGTTTAAAAAGCCAAATACCGCCAACTAATTCTATGGTATTGAAAATACCATAAATGAGACATTCACTGTCTCATTTCAATACCACCTGCTATCATAGTTATCTGCAATATTACTAGCACACGCTTTTCAAACAAGTTAATATTACCCTTCCTTTAATAAATACTAATAGCACGAACTAGCTGATTTTTAAATTACGTTGATTATGGACATAGGTTATGATTCAGAGTTTACATTATTTAATTATGAAACCACGCCTTGAAAAGCCCAATCAGGCTGAGCTGAAAGTCTTGCCAGTCCATCTGGCTCATTAACTCTCTCCTTAAAAGAGTGGCAGCAACTACATGTTTTCTCTTAATGGCTTAGCATCTCTTCTGCATAAGATCTGGCAGCTGTAGTTCATGTTTTGATCTTAAAACCTTTTCTTCCCTTTTTACTCTACCTTGATAACAGGTTCAGCCTGCCTACAGGGGAAAAGCATAGTTACTAACTGTCCTCACACTCTTTCCAACAATGTAATGCTTTCTTCCTTAAAGCAGATTACTTTAAAATATAGCATCACTTAAAAAAAAAAAAA